TGGGACCAGTACCTGCCCCTTACTGGGACCAGTCTGTGACCCTTACTGGGACCAGTATGTGACCCTTACTGGGACCAGTCTCTGCCCCTTACTGGGACCAGACTGTGACCCTTACTGGGACCAGTATGTGACCCTTACTGGGACCAGTCCCTGCCCCTTACTGGGACCGGTCCCTGCCCCTTACTGTGACCGGTCCCTGCCCCTTACTGGGACCAGTCCGTGACCCTTACTGGGACCAGTATGTGACCCTTACTGGGACCAGTCTGTGACCCTTACTGGGACTGGTCCCTGCCCCTTACTGGGACCAGTCTGTGCCCCTTACTGGGACCAGTCCGTGACCCTTACTGGGACCAGTCCCTGCCCCTTACTGGGACCAGTCTGTGCCCCTTACTGGGACCAGTCTGTGCCCCTTACTGGGACCAGTCTGTGACCCTTACTGGGACCAGTCTGTGACCCTTACTGGGACTGGTCCCTGCCCCTTACTGGGACCAGTCTGTGCCCCTTACTGGGACCAGTCCCTGCCCCTTACTGGGACCGGTCCGTGACCTTTACTGGGACCAGTATGTGATCCTTACTGGGACCAGTCTGTGATCCTTACTGGGACCAGTACCTGCCCCTTACTGGGACCAGTCTGTGCCCCTTACTGGGACCAGTCTGTGCCCCTTACTGGGACCAGTCCCTGCCCCTTACTGGGACCAGTCTGTGCCCCTTACTGGGACCAGTCCCTGCCCCTTACTGGGACCGGTCCCTGCCCCTTACTGGGACCAGTCTGTGACCCTTACTGGGACCAATATGTGACCCTTACTGGGACCAGTCTGTGACCCTTACTGGGACCAGTCTCTGCCCCTTACTGGGACCAGTCCGTGACCCTTACTGGGACCAGTACCCGCCCCTTACTGGGACCAGTCCATGACCCTTACTGGGACCAGTCCCTGCCCCTTACTGGGACCAGTCTGTGCCCCTTACTGGGACCAGTCTGTGACCCTTACTGGGACCAGTCTGTGCCCCTTACTGGGACCAGTACCTGCCCCTTACTGGGACCAGTCCGTGACCCTTACTGGGACCAGTCTGTGATCCTTACTGGGACCAGTCTGTGATCCTTACTGGGACCAGTACCTGCCCCTTACTGGGACCAGTACCGGGAACCGGTACCGGCCCCCCCAGAACCGTTAACGGCCCTGAACTGCCGGCCCTGCTGGGACCAGTTTGGGGCCCTGACGGACCAGTTCCAGGCCCTTACTGGTCCCAGTTTCTGTCCCTTACTGGCCCCAGTTCCCATCCCTCACTGGTGCCAGTTTCTGTCCCTCACTGGTCCCAGTTTCTGTCCCTTAGTGGTCCCAGTTCCATCCCTTACTGGTCCCAGTTTCTGGCCCTTATTGGTCCCAGTTCCCATCCCTCACTGGCCCCAGTTTCCAACCCTTACTGGTCCCAGTTCCCATCCCTCACTGGTCCCAGTTTCTGTCCCTTACTGGCCCCAGTTTGAGGCCCTTACTGGTTCCAGTTTCCATCCCTTACTGGGACCAGCTTGCAGCCCTCACTGGCCCCAGTTTCTGACCCTCACTTGTCCCAGTTTCCAACCCTTACTGGTCCCAGTTTCCATCCCTCACTGGCCTCAGTTCCCGTCCCTCACTGGCCCCAGTTTGAGGCCCTTACTGGTCCCAGTTTCTGTCCCTTATTGGTCCCAGTTTCCATCCTTTACTGGTCCCAGTTTCTATCCCTCACTGGTCCCAGTTTCCATCCCTTACTGGTCCCAGTTTCTGTCCCTTATTGGTCCCAGTTCCCATCCCTCACTGGCCCCAGTTCCCATCCCTCACTGGTCCCAGTTCCCATCCCTCACTGGTCCCAATTTCTGTCCCTCACTGGTCCCAGTTCCTATCCCTCACTGGTCCCAGTTTGAGGCCCTTACTGGTCCCAGTTTCCGACCCTCACTGGTCCCAGTTCCCATCCCTCACTGGTCCCAGTTCCCATCCCTCACTGGTCCCAGTTCCCATCCCTCACTGGTCCCAGTTCCCATCCCTCACTGGTCCCAGTTCCCGTTCCCGTTCCCGTCCCGTTCCCCCCCCGCGCACCTTTCTGGATGCGGAGCTGCGCGGCCGAGGCCTTTTTGCTGGAGCTCTTGGTGCCGCCCGCCGATTCCTCCTCCTTCTTCTGCTGCTTCAGCGAGAACAGCTTGATCATCCTGCCGAGCCGGGCCGGGCCGGGCCGGGCCGGGCGGGTCCGGGCCCCGCCGGGGCCGAGCGAGCGGGGGCCGGGCCGGGGTCGGCGGCGAGCGCTGAGGGCCGGCCGGCTCGGCAACTTCCGGAGCCGCTCGGCTCTTTCCGGAACCGCGCCGCCACCGCCTCGGCCACTTCCGGGACGGCTTCGGCCGGCGCTTCGGCGGAACTTCGGCTCTTTCCGGAACCGCGCCGCGCCGCCTCGGCCACTTCCGGGACGGCTCCGGCGGAGCAACTTCGGCTCTTTCCGGAACCGCGCCGCCACCGCCTCGGCCACTTCCGGGACGGCTCCGACGGAGCAACTTCGGCTCTTTCCGGAACCGTTTCGTGGCTCTGGGGACGGCCGGAGATCTCCGGAGATGGGCGAGGAGGTTCGGGACCCTCCGGAACCGCTGGGCAATGTCCCGGCGGCCGCCCCGCGGCTCTCCGGAACCGCTCGGCGGGGCTTCGGAACCTCTCGGCAAACCTCCGGAACCGCTTCGGAACCGTTGCGGGGGGGGGGCGGCGGAACCGCCTCGGGGGAACCGCTTCCGGAACCTCCGGAGATCTCCGGGGCGGGGGGGGGGTTGGGGGGGTCTCCGGAAGGGGCGGTTCGGGACGTCCTGGAACGAATCGGGCGGGCCTGATGGCGCTTCGGCTTTTCCCGGCAGGAATTCGACTCGTTCCGGCGCTCCGAGCGCGCTTCGGTTGTTTCCGGAACGCTTCGGCTCTTTCCGGGGAAGGGGGCGGGGCGCAAAGCGGCGATTCGGGCGCTCGGCTCTTTCCGGAACACTTCGGCTCGCCCCGGCTCCCGGCAGCCAATCACGTACAGGGGGCGGGGCTTGAGCCCTTTCTCCCGGTGGGCGCTGCCATGTTCCTCGTGGGCGCCGCCATCTTTGTTGGCCCGGGGCTGAACTGGGACCAGTTTCACCTCCCAGTCCCTTTCCCGCTCAGCTCGGGGGGCGGGGATGGAAGGGGGGGCGCAGCAGAAGGGAAAATGGCGGCACAGGGGAGGAATGGGGCAGAACCCAGGAAACCCGAGCACAGAAATGGGGAAAATCCAGGAAATTCCAGCCCTGAATTTGGGGAGAATCCAGGAAATTCAAGGCCAGAAATGGGGGAGAAACCAAGAAATCCAAGCACAGAAATGGGGGAGAATCCAGGAAATCCAAGGCCTAAAATTGGGGGAAATCCAAGGCCTAAAATTGGGGTGAATCCAGGAAATCCAAGCCCTGAAACTGGGGAGATCCAGAAAATCCAAGCCCTGAAATTGGGGAGAATCCAGGAAACCCAAGGCCTAAAATTGGAGAGAATCCAGGAAATTCAAGCTCAGAAATGGGGGAGAATCCAGGAAATCCAAGGCCTAAAATTGGGGGAAATCTGGGAAATCCAAGCCCTAAAACTGGTGAAAATCCCAGAAATCCAAGCCTTGGAATGGGGGAGAATCCAGGTAATCCAAGCCCTAAAATGGGGGAAAATCCCAGAAATCCAAGCCCTAAAATTGCGGAGAATCCAGGAAATCCAAACACAGAAATGGGGAAGAATCAAGGAAATCCAAGGCCTAAAATTGGGGAGAATCCAGAAAATCCAAGCACTGAAATTGGGGCAAATCCAGGAAATCCAAGTCCTAAAACTGGGGAAAATCCCAGAAATCCAAACCTTGAAATGAGGGAGAATCTAGGTAATCCAAGCCCTAAAAATGGGGAAAATCCAGGAAATCCAAGCCGTGAAATGGGGGAGAATCCAGGAAACCCAAGCCCTAAAAATGGGGAAAATCCAGGAAATCCAAGTCCTGAAATGGGGGAAGAGTCCAGGAAATCTGAGCCCTAAAACTGGGTGAAATCCAGGAAATCCAAGCTCTAAAATTGGGGAAAGTCCAGGAAATCCAAGCACAGAAATGGGGAAGAATCAAGGAAATCCAAAGCCTAAAATTGGGGAGAATCCAGGAAATCCAAGCCCTGAAATGGGGTCAAATCCAGGAAATCCAAGCCCTAAAACTGGGGAAAATCCCAGAAATCCAAGCCTTGGCATGGGGGAGAATCTAGGTAATCCAAGCCCTAAAAATGGGGAAAATCCAGGAAATCCAAGCACAGAAATGGGGGAAGAGTCCAGGAAATCTGAGCCCTAAAACTGGGTGAAATCCAGGAAATCCAAACTCTAAAACTGGAGAGAATCCAAGAAATTCAAGCACAGAAATGAGGGAGAATCCAGAAAATCCAAACTCTAAAACTGGAGAGAACCCAAGAAATCCAAGCACAGAAATGGGGAAGAATCAAGGAAATCCGAAGCCTAAAATTGGGGAGAATCCAGGAAATCCAAGCCCTGAAATGGGGTCAAATCCAGGAAACCCAAGCCCTAAAAATGGGGAAAATCCAGGAAATCCAAGCCCTGAAATGGGGGAAGAGTCCAGGAAATCTGAGCCCTAAAACTGGGTGAAATCCAGGAAATCCAAGCTCTAAAACTGGGGAAAGTCCAGGAATTCCAAGCACAGAAATGGGGAAGAATCAAGGAAATCCAAGCCCTAAAAATGGGGAAAATCCAGTAAATCCAAGCCCAGAAATGGGGGAAGAGTCCAAGAAATCTGAGCCCTAAAACTGGGTGAAATCCAGAAAATCCAAACTCTAAAACTGGAGAGAACCCAGTAAATCCAAGCCCAGAAATGGGGGAGAATCAAGGAAATCCAAGCCCTGGAACTGGGGCAAATCCCAGAAATCCAGGTGAAATCCCAGAAATCCAGGTGAAATCCCAGAAATCCAGGTGAAATCCCAGAAATCCAGGTGAAATCCAGCCCGGAAATGAGGCAGGACCCAGGAGACCAAGGCAGGAGTTTATTTTCCCACGTGACCCCAGGAAAAGGGGGGACAGGGACACCCCCACATCCCGGGGGGCTCTGGGGGGAACCCGAACCCCTGGGGGGGCAAACGGGGGTGCTGGGAGGGCTTTCACCCCCCGGGAGGGGCCATCAGGAGCCTGGAGGCACCTCCAGGGCTTCCTCGGGATCCACCAGGAGCCGGGAGAACTTCTGGTCCCCGAAGACGGCGCTGAGGCGGCTCTCGAGGAAGCGCTGCAGCCCCAGGATGGACTGGACGTCCGCCTTGTCCTGGGGTGGGGGAAGGAGAGAATTCCAGCGGGGCTGGACCCCCGAGGAGCCCCGGAAGAGCCCCCGGGGGCTGCCCGACCTCGGTGAGGCGGTGGAACTGGCGCAGCAGGCGCCAGCCGTCGCGGGCGAACTCCTCGGGGCTGCGGTAGTGCGGGCTCAGCTTCTCCTGCAGCCGCGCCCGCATCAGCGTCAGGTCCATGGCGTCGCGGCCGTCCTGCGGGGCCGGCGGCGCCGTCAGCGGGCGCAGCCGGGCGGATCCCAGCCCTGAGCGCACCCCCGATCCTGATCCCACCCCGATCCTGATCCCACCCCGATCCTGATCCCACCCCGATCCTGATCCCACCCCGATCCTGATCCATTCTCTGATCCCACCCCCTGATCCTGATCCGTCCTCTGATCCCACCCCCTGATCCTGATCC